AGCAGGATGATGTGGAGAAGGGCACAGACGATGAGCTGTCTAACGGAGGAAGTCCGACCCTCACCGCGAGCGGACAGGAGGAAAATAGGAAGACAGGAGTAGAAAAAAACATCTTGAGAAGAGAACTGGGAGCCATGAGGAAAGATTCCAGAGATGTTATGAAGAGATGGTCCGGAGAACCAGGCAAAAGTTCAGGAAGAGCAGGCGAGGAATTGAGCAAAAGTGAGTCCCGAGAAATTTACAGGAGGCCTTCCGATCTGGACCAGAAACCCTCAGAAGAATTAATAAAAAACAGGTCCGAAGACAAAGAGGAGAGCCTTTCAGAAGCCGAAAGGAAAGTGTCGGAAGACCTGGAGGAAATAGAACTGGGAGAAACGGAAACAGAAAGTGCTGAGAAAATGGAAAAAGATGAAAAGGAAGATGAGTGAAGCCCCTGTTAGGCATTAGGATCAGGAGGCTGGGATCACAGGGACATGGGGACCTTATTAAACTAGACTTTGGAGTTGAGATGTGTAAAGAGGTCCCCTCTGCCTTTTTCTGATACTGTTGTCCCTTTAAATAGATACCTTTGGTTCTTACAAACCCTGAGTCTTTCATTGCCTCCATCCCCCCACCCATTCTCAGAACAGACTTAGAGAATGAATGACCGGACGTGGGGTGCTACTTCCTGAGCAGAACTCTGACCTTACCTTGACTGGGTGAGAAACACAGAGGCCCCCAAACAAGGCCTGACCCGGAGTGTGATCAAGGTGTGAAGTGTGGTCCTCTCCCCCAGACCCTGTCCAAAGACCGTCCGGGAGAAAGAGAAAGGTGCGAAGAAGAGGGTGTCAGTGGGGGGAAGAAACAGGTGAGCTCTGTGAATCAGGACAGCTTAACGGGGGGAGGAAGGAGGAAGGCCTGGGAGCAGAGGCATGTCTGCCCAGCGGCTGTCCATTGGCTCATTTTGCTGAGTACCTACTTTGTGCAGCACACAGTGGGAGGCTCTCTGGAAGAAATAATGATGGGACAGCCTCAACCATCACTCAGTGAGGGAGACCTCTTGTAAACCCCTAAGCCCTGAAAGCAGAATGAAATGAATGCTGGTACTGATAGGGGCACTGGGAGCCTAGAGGAAGAAAGACAGTTCCTACCCAAGAACAGGAAGTAACCTGGGCGTAGGAGCCAGGGCTGGTCCCCCTGTGCTACTTCCGCTGGCAGTCAAGTAAGTCAGGCTCCCAAAGAGGCCTGAGACAAAGTGTGATCAAGGTGTGAAGCCCGGTACTCTCCCCCAGGCTCTGTCCAAAGACCTTACGGGAAAAAGAGAAAGGTGCTAAGAAGTACCTTTGCTTCCTCCTCTGTGGAATGGGTACCTGCCTCAGGGGTTGCTGTGGGATTATATGAGTGCGTCCCACAGCACCTGGTACACAGGACGCTCTCCAAAATCTACCCAAGCTTTCAGTCTCTTCACAGAGGAAGTGGGGGCTGAGCAGCTGCCTCAGAGGATGAGTTAAATTTCACAACAGTTATCCATCTGTCCCTTTGGCTACTGCCATCCTGGTTCTGTCTCCAACAGTTCCCCACAGGGTTGGGTGAATCTAGACTGGGACAGGGCCTGGCCTAGGCTGAAGCAAGGCAGGCATTCCAGCTGCAACATTTCACGGGGTGCAAAAACTCAGTAAGCAAGATAAACAGTATTTTAATGCAATATTGTAAAAAAATAATGCAACAACCCATGATGAGTAAAATATCAACCTTTTCTATAAAGACAGGATCCCACCTGGCACTTGCGAGACCCTGCTTCCCTCCCCTCTTCCTTATCTTGGCGCGGGACTGGGAAAGGGTGACTGCTTTCCTCTTTAAAGACTTCATTATTAACACCTACCAGAAAAAAGAGGCCATAAAAAAATGAATGAATGAAATGGACAAACCTCTGCCCAACACTTCTTTTTTTTTTAATACAAATTTCTTTATCGATTTCAGAGAGGAAGGTAGAAGGAGAGATAGAAACATCAATGATGAGAATCATTGATCGGCTGCCTCCCGCACACCCCCTACTGGGAATCGAGCCCGCAACCCAGGCATGTGCCCTTGGCCGGGATGGAACCTGGGACCCTTCAGTCCGCAGGCTGATGCTCCATCCACTGAGTCAAACCGGCCAGGGCAGCCCAGCACTTCTTGCTGTTGCTCAGTCTTCGGGTAGCTCCCGTAGGCTGCCCCACGTGGGGGCGCTTCCTCTGTCTCCCCACCCCGCACCCACCAGCTGCTCAGTTTCGAGTTTCGATTTGCTGCGCCTGCGCAGACTCGAAGGCGCGTCCCGGCCCCTTCCCGGGTCCGCCGAGAGCGCTCCGCCCCGCGGCTATGTAAGGCGGCCCGGCGCGGGGTCGCGCGCTCGCTAGACT